TTCGAAGAAAAACCTTGGCCTCAAGCTTAAAAGGATGATTTGGCTCAGAAGCGCGGAGCATCAAATAAGAAGAAAACATAACATAAGAAGCAATGGGCCACGACTGAAGAACCAACATGAACCAACACCAACCAACGAACACCAAAGGATGTTGTTTGCTTCCTGACATGCTCTCTAGCACAACCCCAGGAAAAAATAGTAGCAATCCAAAAGAAGACAAGCCAACAAAACGGGAGTGTGGGGCCCGTTCAACACTGAAGCTTATCCACCATATCTACAGCTTTGTGCAATTGATGATGCAGGTATAGCCCGCCATGGCAGACTGGAAGGATTCCCCAAAATGGCATTTTCATCCCGTGGGGTGGGATCCCAAATTCCATTTCTCCAGTCTTCTCCTCCCCGCAAAAGGGAGCATGGAATGCGTCATTCCATTTTTAATGGAGTGGGGATGGCTTCCCAAACTACACATGGCCACATGGCTTCTAGCCAACCCAATCCAAAGGCCGAGGGGCGTCTGCTCCTCGATGCTGATGGTGCCCTCCGGGCTGTGGCGTTCGGAGCGGCGCACGGCGAAGCAGAACTGAGAGGGCTGGAACTCCTGGCCGCAGGCCACGAACCCCCGCGATAGCTGGCGCCAATCTCTACAAAATGTGGAGACTCCGCTGCTCTGACGCGATCTGGCGCAGCTCCTCGCAAACAAATCCAACAAAGGCCTCACTTGGAGCAAGAACTGAGAGCTTCTCAGGAAGAGCCCTGAAAGAGCTCCTTGGTCTCACGCTGCTGCTCGGAATCGACAGCCTTGCGTCGCGCAACTGTGACTGGCGCCAGGTGGTTGAAGCATGGGCCAAGGCCGCTGAAGAACAAGCTGCACACTCTAGCGCGCTCTTCCCCGAGTTGCAAGCCATAGTCGTGCTACATTGGCTTGCGCGTGGGGCCGGCTTCAGAAGCCTTTGATGTTGGGAGCTGCCTGGCCGCAGCTTCTTGCAGGTTGGAACTGGTGCCAAAGGGCAGGAAGCAAATCAACAAAAATAAACGGAGACCCGACACTTCCGCTGAACCCTCTTGGAACGTCGGGCTTTGCCAAAGAAACAGGACTTGCCCCAATTTGCCATGCCCATGCGGAAACAACCAGGTCTGCCAGACTGCAGTCTAATCGGACAGCAGCGTCTCAACGCGGGCAGATGTCGAAGTGACTTGCGCCACGCAAGTGTGATGGAGCGAGCTTCTGGCCACACAGCAAGCTATGCCAGGTACCTCCACCACCTGAAAGACACATCATCACAAGAAACATGGTCGCGGGAAACCATTTTGTGTGCTTTGCGCTGCAAGCAAACTGAGTTGCCAGCAGAGAGTGAGTGAATCTCATCACCACAGTGCCATGCGGTAGAAACAGCGCCTGCAGCCCCCGAAGCACAAAGGCGCGCGCTCATAACCTCACAACGGCATGTGAGCCTGCACAGCCATGAGTCGGAACTCTTCCGGCCGGCCAAGTTTTGAAAGAAAGCCGCTTCCACGAGCTTCCCAGCACGCACGTGTGTAGCATTTGCAGGCATGTTGAATCTGAAACCACAGCTTTAACCGAGTTTTGGAGCCTTTACTTTTTTTGGGCGCTAGCGTTGTTCGTCTTGTTGGCAGCTGCTGTTGTTGCCGCAGGCGAGTCTTGTTCGATGAGCATTCTCTACACCAAGCGATGGGCTGCAATAATCTTTTAAAACGCAGCTCAAGCTGCGCAAGCCTTACGCCAATGGAAAGCGCTTAGGCTGCTGCCGTTGCTTGCAGAAGAAGACGAGTTGTTGATATAACGAGAGGGCATGTGGTGGGAAAGGGCCCCTTCTGCGCTTCCACAAAACTTCCGTCGCGGAAGCGGAAGTATGTTGGGATTCTGTTTCTGGGCTCCCTCCAGCCTTAGCATGCGCCTTAGTCTCTTTATTCAAACGCCGCGAGATCGTCACCATTGTCATTTGCCCATCGAAACAACTGCAGTGTCAGCACAAACAACCATACGCCATAAACCCTTCCACGAGCTTCGGACAAAACCTTCCACGAAGCTTCCACAGCCTTCCGTGACTGTGGCGCGATACGCATTTTCCACAGAATACGTTCCGTGCCTTTACGCACTTAACTGTGGAGCAAGAACAACGAAACGCAATTCGTTTCCGGTCAAACTAAGGAACTGCTGGATGAGTGTAAACATGGTGAAGACATCTGCCGGAAAAGGCTTGGATGGTTCCAAGCTGGGGTGCAGCTCTAAAGACCTGGGCTGGCCCCTGCGCACTGACATACAGTCGTCACAGAGCGTGCTGGACGGGCCAGAGGCTGCTATCCCGGCAGTGTCTGTGTTGGGACGTCCGAGGCATTTGGCATGTCATGGCAGCCACAACAATTGCAATCTAGATTGGCGAAGTATCCTGTCAAGCCGCAAGCCGCGCACACTGTCCGACCCTCCCCCAAAAGTAAGTATAAAACATAATACATTTGAACATGAATCTTGAAGGAAGATTGACTTGAGGTTGGCAACTTTTTAAATCACCCAACTGGGCAGGGGGATCGAGCCCTGTTCCTGCGATTGACATGTCAGACTGGCGTGTCAGACTGACCGCTATTCTGCTTCCAGAATCAGCTAAGATTTAACTCATGAAACATGGCTGCTAAACACGGGTCTGGACAACAAACGAAAGCTTGCAGCTTGCACAACCCCTTTTGGTTTCAGCTTCCTTTTGGGAAAATAAACAAGCAAAAAATTGGATTGTGCATCCAACCCCCAACGCAGGGTGGGGCCAAACCCTTAATATATGCTTAAATACCTTGTTTAAAGTTTCAACAAGGTTTCCGTTTCATAGGGTTTCTCCAAAGATACGTCAAGAAAACCAGTTTTTCTTGGGGATCCTGTAAGTCTGTTTTCCTGGCCAAATGCCTGGGGACCCTGTTTAGAGGGAACCAGGGCGCTCCAACCAATTTGGCCCTTCGAAGGCGGTTTCACGAGACCCAAAATCCCCGGAGGTCCTCGCGGAAAAGCTTCCGGTAGTGGAAGCGCATGTAAGCTGCGAAGAGGGCTGGGCTCACCTGGTGGTGTTCGAATGGGGGGCCGGTTTGGCATGGCTTGAAACGGAGAACAGGTGAGTCAAAATCAAAACGCTTGACAGGGACAATTTGAAACCCAAAGACCAAAACAACCAATCATCTGGACATTTGCGAAGGGTTCCCGGTGTCTTAACAACCAATTTGGGGTAAAGGCGATCCCAGCCGCCCAAACCTGGAAAACAAAACACTCGGTCCATGTAGTAAAACTCACCAAACACGAGAAAACAAAAAGGGCGCGAAGGCAAAAGTGGGTGATTGAAGCCGTTGCCGACGTCCGGACCGGCCTCTTTCCCAATGGCCGCAACCAGCTGCTTCCTCAGCATGCCTTCCACCTGAGGGACTGCGGTCGGCCCAAAGCGAACCCATGCTCCGCAGCGATTTGTTGATTTTGGGGGGTCCGAAAATGGGAGTTGCCCCTTTAAAAAAAGCTCCGTAGCGGTTTCCGCAGCAGCAACATCTATCCAATGAGGGTGGGGTAAGTACTTTGGTACGTCACTCTCATCATGGGAAGACCTCACGTTGCAATAATTGGCCAGACTCACCCTGCAAAGAGCTGACTGTTTGATGGCCCAAAGGGAATCCCTGTTGTTGGCCGGTTTACCTATGCTTCCCCTCATCAATCAGGGAGAAAACAAATCCCGATAGGAAACACCAATTGGGGTCAAACACTGGCAAGACAAGTGCCGACTTGACACTTGGTGTTAAACATGGTCAAGTAGGCCCCAAATAGAGTACTTGGTGGTTCATTTTTGATGTTTGGGTAGTCCTCTCCTTTGTCGGAAAAAGAAGGAGGAAGCTTGTGATCTCTCTCTCCATGTCCTCCCCATGACAAACTCCCAGTGACAGCCGGTGCTTTGACCGGAGCTCGTGCTGAACTCACTGCCAAGTTCCCTCGATTCCAGATTGACTTCACGCAACCCAAGGCCATCGGACTCTTCTTTCTTGCGGGGAATCTCCTCGTTGGGAAACACCCAACCCTTGGCGTCAACCATGCGAGCGATTTCCTCGGGGCTTTTCCCTCCCACTTTGGGCCCACATCCTGAGCACCATAGCCGACTTCTGGTTCTATGGGTAACGCTCAGTTCTAGCAACGCTAGACCTCACCAATTTCACGAAACCGGGAATTGTTTGGCACGCAGTGAGTCATCGCTACAAGGATCTCATATGAGCTAATCCACACCGCTGGTTGGGACTGTCCCTTATCGCTCGTCAGGCTTGACTCCCGGTCTCTCTTGACGCCCCTTGGGCATCCAAGTGCCTTCATGGGTGGCTTCCGCAAGACTTGCTGTGCGGCTTTCTGTGGGCAACATCCAAAGAGGCACCCCCAGCATACCAAGTTCCCCCAAACGATGCTGGCGACCAGTGTCCTGCATGAGACGACGACAGCTCACTTCAATCCAAATTCTTTGGCATGTGGGTCACGGAACAAAGCCGACTTGCAGTATATCTTGCGATTGGAGGCGCGTATTCCACCAGCTCGCCCCATCCTTCCGAGACCGCGGAGCAGTGCATCAACGTCACATGCCTCAGCAACGCGGGCGTGATGTTCACACTGAAACCATGGACACGCAATGGCAGCACATACTGAAACAGCCGAGGAATTATCGCAATCCAAAAAAATGAACAATATGATCATTGTACGCATGTGCAAACAGTCTTAGCCGAAAATGGAGGTTGTACAAGATCCTTGCAAAAAGCTTCCTTCATCGTGTGACGTGGAAAAGCCCGCTGGCATCCCAGTGGCAAGACCTGAAGCCACGTTCTGTCCATCTCCGAATGTGATTCACACAGCCCTACTGCAGCTGAGACTCATTGCTGCCTCTGCTCGCGTGTACAAGCCCTCCAAAGGGAAGACTTCCTGATCGCTTGCATCAACACATCTCAGCATTTCAGCAGGTGAACTGCCAGGCAAACATGTGTCTCGAAGTAGTGCGAAGGGAGGGGCTCAACATGACTCTCGACTCATATATGAGTAGTGCAACCAGTCAACGTACAGTAACCTACTAGTCGTTGAAAGTCGTACAAGCTGAAGCCCACTTTAAGGCTGCTGAAGATGCCTTGCGAGCAACAAGAAGCCACTGCAACAAAGACCTTCAGCCGAGTGTATGCCGCACTTCCGAGCTGAACTGCTATGAAGAGGTGAAATGCACATGAATGCCACAGGTGCCAAAAAAGACGCGCAGTATGGTATGGTCAGACTGGCAACCAGCAATGCCCCATGGCATTGTATGGCATTGGGCTCTTCTGCGATACGTATCCTGGCCTAAGCCATGGTTGTTCCTTTGGCCGACGCTTTGCTACCCAGTTTCCAGGTTCCTTTTCCACTGGAGAGCTCCCGGAATCGCTGGATGATTCGAAAGGGAAAGCAAGAGGATATGACCCACCTGAATGGGAACGTTGAAAGGAAAGAAGCATTTCAGCCACAAAAGGGTACCTCAAGAACAGGCACACATGTCCGCGTTTGTTCTAAGCAAAACAACAAGAGAGGGACACCACCTGTTCTGGGGGCTTGTCCTACTTTGAGACACACCCTCTAAAAAACTGGGTAAGGATAAACATGTTTTTGTTGGGGCTAACGGGAAACCAACAGGCTAGCAACCAACCATTTTGAGGGATCCTACAAGGATTGTTGCCCACAAAAAATCTGACTTGGTACTAGGCGAATCTAGGCAAATGCATGTGTCCCGCATCAGGGTCCTCCGAATTTCCTGGCACAAGGGTTGTAAATAGTTAACTGTTTTTTCCGGTTCGTTGTGTTTAAGAGGGGAACCCTTTTAAGCTTCGCGCCCAGCCCCGGAGCCGAGGAATCCGAGGGATCCGAGGGATCCGAGGCGCCGCGAGGTTGGCCTTCTGCTCCTCTAGGCTCCGCAGCTCTTCCCCCAGCAGCCGGTTCCCATCCGACACGCACAGCACCAGGCCTGCGCCAGCGACTCAAGTCGCGCCACACGACCCGCGCAAGACGACCCCATGCCGAACGAGTTCACGGGCGTCAAGAAGCACCACGAGAAAACACCCCATGTATATACGCATGCTGTCGATGTGTGTGTACGGATTTTGTTTTTGTTGGTATGCATGTATTCTTCTATCTTCTATGAGGATGGGTGCATGAATGTGGAGGGGCGCTCCTTTCAAAACACTAAGCTTTGAGCAATTGTTTTCCAGTGAGCTTGGCGAATGTTCGTGAACATTGATTCACTCTGCTGACAAGCTCCAGCGCAAAGTCTGCACACAAATCAAGAAGCATGGCTGTGAAAGTGAGCATCGACGTAGTTTGCGACGCGGCATGAAATCCTGTGTTGACTGCAGGTCCACGGGCTAGTTTCGAAGCTTTTCTTGTATTGTGGCAAAGCCCGTCAAGTTCAATGTTCATGCACTAGCCGAAAACATCCGACACATCTCAAAAAACATCAAAAAACATCAAACACGCCAGCAAGCCAGAAAGCCAGCCAGCAACCAGAAAGCCAGCCAGCAAGCCAACAAACCAGCAAGCCATCAGGCCGGCACGCAGGCAAACAGACAAGAAGGCAGGCAATTAAGGCTTATGATAGCACGTTTTAAAGACACCTTGCTCCCCGTGATATTCTTGGTCGGGAATGTCCCAAGCTAATAACCTTCAATTGCCCCCCTGTAAACTCTCCCACCCCAAAGAAGGGATCCCGCACAAGATGCAAGTGAACTTGACTTGAGTTACAATCAAAACCCGGTATTAAAATGGTTGACCCAAAACCATGTAAGGAAATACAAAGGCGGCCGCAACTATGTAGGGCTGGGGTTGCCCTTACTAACCTTCATCTTCCCAAGTTTGATTGTGGCTCACTTGGCTCGCATCCTTTTGAGACGTTCTGTGGATCTCCGGTGCTGAGTGCCGCGCTTCCCTGCATCTCCGACGATGCTGACAGCAGCGCCAGAGTGCCCGCGTGGTCCCCGGCTGGCTCATCTGTGGTATTCCCAGACACCTCCAGCGAGTCAGCGGGAAGTCTCCAAACGGGTCTAGGCGATCGCCGGGTGAGTGGCACTCTGGGGAATAACCTACTTTTGGAGGAGCCCATTCAAAATCGTGTTGAAAGCCTCAAGACGAGTCTCAGTTCCGGGAGAAAAAAAAAAAAACACAAAAACATCTTGTGCGCGGAACGGAACTCCATCCGATGTTCTGGACTCTGGCACTCAAACCAGAGATGGAGCGGCAGCTTCTTGGGGACTTTTGGACGCCAGGGACGGAGAAAAATCCCGAAGCCGCAAAAAAGACACTCAAAGGGCGAGCAATAAATACCAATTAAACTGGAAGGTGGCATGATCCTCAATGTCTTTAGTGCTGTGGCTGTCGTACCGATTGTTGGCCGAAACAAGCAAAGTTTGCAAAACGGGCACCTGGGTGAGTTGCGAAGCAAATCTTGCCTGATAGGAAGACCAGGGCAGCTCCGGGATGCTGATTGATCGTAGTTTCCCAAGGTCACAAGGACACCAAGGCTCAAAACTCCACAAGAGTAGACATTTGGCCCTCGGAGAGAAAAGCAACAGGAGCTACCTTTTGTGTACCATTCTGGTTTGGTCATTTGAGTTGCGGAGAAGCCCTGATGACATCTCCAAACCATTGGTCGACACCGACATCCCCTATTGACTTTGGTTTGTAAAGTTAAATATATTAGCCTTACAAAAGAAACCCATGAAAGTAGAACCTCTTGCAACAATGGCCCAAAGGGTTTTGGGCGCTGCTCGCATCTCATTCCAGTCAAAAGGCCATGATGGGCAGGGTGGGCACAAAGATCTTCTCAGCCGAAACTGCGTTGTCGTCGCCAGTCCTGCTTTCCGAGATAGATTGATCATGTTTCTTTGTGGCTGGGGTGGGTGGGTGGGTGGGGGGGGGGGCTTTTTTGTCGCTGGTGTATGAATTTTCTTTGGGATTTATGTAGATCAACCTGCCACTCAGCATGCGACTTCGACCATGATTACATGATGTTGCCAGTCTTTGAAGCGTTGGTTTCAAAAAGGCGTAGTATATCCATAGACCTGACCTAAAAAGTGTTGCATTTGCTGATGTTTGTCGGCCATTCAGTCTCATGAGCTCCCCATCCCCAAAGTTAATTGATATTGTGCCTCTTTGGTTTTCCAGTTTTGGTTCATGTCTGTTCATGCCCCCCATGTAAATCCTTGCAGCGCAATGCCGGGTTTTCTGTGCAAGATAGAAACCACAGAGGCCAAGCTGTGTTTAGTGGGTCCATTATATAATGCCTACCAACAGTACACTCAGGGTATGAAACAGCTATCAGTACACTCCCAGTATGGTCAGGGAAAAGCGCCTTCCCCTTGCGCGGCGCGACCCGTGTCCCACAGCCCAACAAACTCAAGCTGTCCCCGATTGCTTGTTTTCAGAAATGCGGCCCACACGTCTGCAATAGAATTCACCGACTTGAAATTTAATCAGGCTTCACAAACAAAAGGGAACCCCCCTTCTCAGTTGTTCAATGACCCTGAAAAAAAAGGGAGCCCTTTTTGGGGAAGACCATGTTTGGTGGGGCAGCCACCCAAAAAAAAGGAAAAATAATTGGTGCGACTGAACCACTGAGCCTTTGTCAGCTATGAGTTGTCCAGAGATGTGGCCGCTATCTGCTGGCTTCCGGCTGCCGTGTGCTTTTGCATTCGCATGCCGCACGAGATAGGCATTCTATTTCAAGGGCCTACCCCGTGCACCTTACCCCTACGGAAAGACAAGGTCTAAGTGCATGACCGCACACAGGATGTAAAATGCTATGTGTCACCTAGCCTAGAGCTTTGGGTCCGAAGGATACTTTTGAGTAAGTGATCTAAGCGCCGAAGGGGACAACTAGTGATCCTAGCGCTGTGTTGCCCAAAACTGATCGTGGACCAATTTGAAAAGAAAGAGGTTCGGGCCACTCAATACAAGGGGCTAAATAGATAGAATGGGAGCTGGGTATGCAAATCCCCTTTCGCCACAGTGGAAGGATAGTTTGGACACGTGGCCGACACAGACACACGCCCATGGCTCCTGATTGGGCCTCAAGCCAAAAAATACGGAGTTCTTGAAGGGCAGGATCGTTGGGGAGGATTCATTTTATCTGCCCGGAGTGTCCTTCTGACCTTTTCATTACGGGGCCAAAGCATTGCTACAAGAGGCCTCAATTTGGAAGTCGGGGCATCGTGGGGTTTCTGCCTTGAGCAGCTGGCAGCTTTGTTTCGAGAAGCCCACCGGGTTGAGACGCAACCCAAAACGCAACCCAAAAGGGTGGAGGTTTGAACCACCCTTTCAGGGGAACTGTTGAAACTCAGCGCGAAAACGCCAACTGGCAACTCAGAGAGCTTTCGGCTCGAATCGCTCGAATCGCTCCTGGGCTTCACATTTCGCAGCTTTCCCCTCAGCTCGCTCCGAAAGCAGTCGCCAGATCACACTGCAGGCACACGCCAGCAAGAAAGCGGACCTGCTGAACAGTCATTTGACTACGTAAAAATTGCTCCCTGACTAAGAATTCAGGACCAGAAAGGAATCTTGGATGAGTCAGCTGCCTAGATTTGACCTTGCGACCAGTGAAGCAAAGAAGGAGGCAAAAGGGCCTCCGTTCATGTATGTGAATAAACACGTGGTGGTTATACTACGGATAGGTCGCTGATATCGGGGCCCGTCTGTCATCAAAACTTCTTGGTCAAACAAATAAGAGCCAATCAGGCCAAACAAGCAATGCAATCTTGCACAACATGTTTTTGCCGGGCAAAGCGGGGATGTTGTGCTCACTTCCAGCTCATGACATGCGACGGAACATTGATTTGGAGTACGGAAGGTGCAAGCATTGTAGTACCAGACTTGACTTGCCTGCTTGGTTGCTTGCCGTTTGGCCTCTGAGCAGTCTCAGTGTGTGTGGACATGCTCCCTCCAACTTCAGAACGGAGTATATACAAATATAGGGGAGATCCGCGGTGATCCTCTGAATATTTTTCAACTGAGACAAGTGAAACCTGTGAGACTTCCGTCGCGCAGTTGGCTGGTACAACTGTACCATTTCGAGGGTCCAATGTCCAGCTACGCCTCTCGTCCGATACTACTGGTTTCCCATTCCAAAAGGACATGGCCCTTTCTCGGAGGACCAAATGCAAGCACTTGGCGCCTTGACACTTGAAAAAAAAAAACGTGCAATGTCCACAGCCTCACTTGAACAACCACGAGGCTAAATGCCACAGACCCAAGCCACAAAGATCCATGGCGCCCCATCCTGGCCTCAAGCTGATTTCGATTGACCGCAAAGGCGACGGCGGAACCGCCGGACCTTGGGCTGTTCAGCCAAGCCACAAATAGCTGGACACCGACTGCGCCTGAAGCAAATGGAGGGGTCCACAAGTTGTGTGCCAATCAGATTGCTTACAGCTGGCTGAAAATATCCGGGAGCATTTCAGGGTTGCTTCAATACATACAACAACACCACAAGTTGTACAAGAACATAATAAACATGTGCAGGTAAACGGTAGCATGTGATTCAAAATGGCCATGTTGAGCAGTTTACGTCACCCTGCATAGCCACGTTTGACCCGTTTCTGAGCACCTGTATTGGAAAGCACCTCGGGCTGGGTTCCTTTCGACCTCCCTTTGAAGGGGAAGCGTCTTTCTTTATCTACAGTCCCCGCTTTGGCCATATGGTACAGTGCTCGGAATCTTGCCTCCCATTTTGGTTCAGGGTCAAAACAGCAGATCGTCTTGACAAGCCTCTCGTCATGGTAAAGGAATCTTGCCCATATGCACACGTGAGCGTTGGTTGTTATTCCCTACAAACTTGATTGGACACTAAGCTTCCGCGGACCCTTTCGCATCCTTGCCGCGGGCCAAGAGGTCCCTTTCGCGAACTTCCGCGAGACATGTGTTTCATTGCTTGCTTCCGCAAGCCTTTCGCGGCGCATGTTTTACAAGATTTGCTTCCGCGAGTTGCGCGGCGCAGAAAGGAAAGTCATTTTAAGTAGTGCTTCGCCGCTTCCTGCGTAGGCTTGGGCTCCATTGGGCTACCTGTGCTAAGCTACGTGGGCACTTGCCTGCAAACACGGCCACCCTTCCGCGGAGCTTTCCGCGAACCTTCCGCAAACCTTCTGCGAAATCCGCCGGCTGTTCTGGTCTTCTTGGCTTGCTGCTGGCAACTGCTCTTCTAGTAAGCGCTGCGTTTCTTGTACCCAGCAACACCTTTCTGCTTCTACTGTAATCGTTTCTCAGTGCTTTTCCACGCACGCAAACTGTATGAGTTAATTTCATATCAGCCGCAAAGCTTCCGCAAACCTTCCGCGAAAGACATCCTTACGCGAAGCTTCCGCATGCTTCCGTGCGTGTGGCGCGGTGCACGTGTTCACGAATAATGGCCCTCTCCCTACTAAATTAGCTTGCGGCCAACAAAACCGCCGATCCCGTGACACATGGTGTCCAACATATCGAGACCCTCTGGCTGTTCAATTGAAAAGAAATGGTTCGGAGGTTCCCCGCACGCATACAGTAGGTGTGGATGAAATCGCTGCTGGCAAGTTGGAACTCTACCAACCCATTAAATCATACATTCTCTCCGGTGACAAAGTAAAACAGGCTCCAACAACGGTGTATTTCGCGTAAGTGCGCCAAAAAAAAAACAAACAATGCCTTTTCCGGAGGCAATGGGTGGGCCTTGAGGCAAAGCAAAGGCCGTTTCCAAGACGTCTAAGGAGGCTTTTTCAGAGCTGTGGGGTCCGTTTCACCCTTGAGGCTCCATATCCGTGGGGGGCAAGGGATCTCTTTGGCTGTACCAGGCAAAACAAGGCAAAGGCCATGTTGTTTCTCGCATTTTTGTCTCCTCCTATGGTTCAGTCATCCAAAACGAAGTCCAAGGAGCCCAACGTGCGAACATGGTGAAGTGCGCAAAGGCCTTGTCCTAGGTCGAGTGGTCGAGTCGGCTCCGCCAGTTCGTTCCTGTACAAAAGTGGAAACATGGAATTCAACTGCTTTGTGGCTGTTGACCCCTCTGCAAAAAGTTAACTTTTTGCGTGTTCTGTGGAAAACCCAACTTGCTTTCCCAAAAAGTTAAAGTCTAAAGATCCAACCCAACAGCAGCCAAGACTGCACCTTCCAGTTGTCCATTACCCAAAATGGCTCAAAGGGCACAATTGGACAACCCTGGGAGGGTGCAGGAATTCCATGTTTGGGAAGCGTCATGGTGAGTGCAATGTTGAGCGCTACAGATTCATCTTGTGTTTCTCCCAAATTAGCTACATGTAGCAGAAGGATGCGGACAACAGGAGTCACAAGTTCAGAAATGGCAATCCGGTCAAACATGGTCATCGTGCGTCTCATGGGAATGCGTCAAACGGTTGACCAGCACCGGTCGTGCAAACTTGGGGGCGCTTTCTTGATTGTGCTGTAGCTCCCGCGAATAACAACCGGATCACCAATTGGACCCTTTCCTCTGCGTTCGACCCACAAAGCTCAGGTCTTCTCGGCACGCAAAAGGGGGGAGCAAAGGTAAAGGGATGTCCTCATGCAAGCCAGAATCAAAACATGGAATAATTCACGGCTCTCCCCCGGTCGAGTGATTGACATTTTGTGAGTCCCTAGCTGGGCCTCACGGCATCTCGAAGCTCATAGCTGAAGTGGAGAGTTTCAGGTATGGGCGTGTCCTTTTGTAGATCCTTTAGTTTGTTTGTTGCTTTGCTCTTGTGTTTTTTTTTCCAGGGAAAGGCGTATGAAGCACCCCTTAGGAGCATCACGCAAATATCTGCAAAATAGGGAGACGCCGTTCCTTGGGTTTCCGCTTAAGGCAATGTGAAAAGGGTATCTTCGGAAACAACCACATAGATCTATAAATATATCTAAACATATACATATAGACCATGGGTCAAAAGCCCGTAGCCCCAGTGAACATCCGATTCAATCCAACCACTAAAATAGGTTCTAAAATGGGTGGTGTACCGGGAAAAAAAACACTCAAAATGGGATCCCAAAACGGTTTTGCCAACCACAGCCATGTTGGTTGGCTGTCTGGCTGAAAAGTGGAATTCGACTTCAATAAGGTGGTTGAGGGGATATTCCCCACATAAACCATTTGGGGTGAGGTCGTGTGAGGAATTATTATAATTCACCCAGATATATGGGTGTGGCTCAAAATGAAACAGAGGGGTTACGCAGGTTTTTGTCCATATCTCCACTTAACAGGGCAACCCATTTTGGTATCGGTTTTGTGAGCCACAGCCATTTGAGACACCCCGACCCCAGCTCGATCCATTCCGGGCAGCCACGTCCGTGTTTCGCCTTGGAGTGCTACAGTTGCTGGCGGCTCGGTCGATCCTTAGGCGCTGACTGGGCCGCCCTAAACGTGACTCACTTTGAGTGGGTTTAATGGAAACCCAACATAAACCCAACCACAAAACCAAATAAAAAGCTAAAAGCTAAGGAACCGGACGGCTGGGAGCCACCAAGAAGAGGCGGGTCTTTGAAGTGAGAGTTATTGGGACACAATCCATTTCAGGGCCTCAAAAACCATCGTGACTCGGTTGCTTTCTGCTCCCCCGCTACAAGTTTGACTTTCAGTGGTTTAATGGAAAACACATTAATTGGCAAAAAGTTAAAGTCCTAACATGCAAGCAACATGCACCAAAGGTGGATTCCAAACATCAGCCGACACATTTTACCCACAGGCGAGATTGCCTTAGTGCAGACAACATCTTCTTGGGCCTCTCAGATGAATGGGAAACCTGGTATTGACCCGGCGGCTATAGCCAAGATCACAAGATGCGCAAACTCGGCTGAACAATGACAAGGAACATGTTGGATAGGGATTACGCATCTCACACCGCACATGATCAAAAGGCAACTAAAAAACGGCTTTGACAACGGAACCACAAGCGATATGGTTGTTTTGGTCAAGGGAAAGAGACGGCTTTGCGAACGGAACCACACGCGCAAAGGTACTCTGTAACGGGGACACTCAACTGAGTGGGCTTCCATTCCTTTTCAAATCAAGCCAAAAAGGTACCTTCCAAAAGGATAGACACACACAGCGCAACCTTGCCAAGCCCAAGATGCTTGAATGATGGGGCTGCATTGGCCGTCAACGATTGCAGCAGCCATGTGATGTTCACCTGGGGTCCCACGGTGAGCCACGTGCGCAGATCGTAACTTGCCTTGAGTTTCCAGACCACGAGAGACGAAAACAAAAGCCACCGAAAACGGTGGATTTGTCCGGGAAACCCTGACGGAAAGGAAAACGAGTGGCAACTTTGGAGGCCCTCTGCTTGTGGTGCGATTTCGCAGTGCCTAAGGGGTCTAGACTTGCTTGCCTATCTCATCCAGAAAGGGCCTGTGACTCATATTTGGGAATCCCTCAGAAAGGAAGACCCCCCTTTCGTTGGTATGTGAAGGAAGCCCAAAAGGAACTAGCCAATTTTACGGTTTTACGGGAAGCCCGTTTTGAGAAGCCCCCGATTGATTTGGCAGAGTCATTGGCTTGCGAATCAAGAAGCACAGCTCCATGATGAAATTCGTACGGGTGCGAATTTCAATAGGGAACCCCTCGGTGGACATCATTTAGGCAGGAACTTATGTCCACCAACCACTTTGGAGATGGCTCCTCATTAAAAGTCATAGCCGTATCTGAACCCCATTGAAATCCTGCCGACGTTGGCCAACTGCAAATTGAGTCCATCCAAAAGTTCCAGTGAGTGGCAGAGATTTCCTGAGATCTACTGATGTACGTGGCAGTTTCACAGTAGCCTTTGAGGATGTCTGAAGTCACCCATCCCCACACCAAAGGACTGCCAAGGCCAGTACGCAAGCCGAATTTCTCGAACCACATTCTCATTGACTTCGGGCGGATCCAACTTGCAAAAAAAAATCATGGAGACAGGGCGTCTCCCTGTCGCAAGCAGCTTTGGAAACGCTTTAGCAGCCAAGCTTCAGGTTGAACAGTGGCAAGCAAGCCCTCTGCTTGGGGCTTCCAGAGCAGCCATGAAGGATCAAAGACTTCAAGCAAAACTGCTGAACAAGTTGGTGGGCAAAATATATGTCACCCACAAAAAAAGGACCTGCGAGGAACCTTCACTTTGCATGTCGCAACTCTCCGAAGGTGAGTTGTCGTTTCGTTGGGCCGCGCCCCGCCTCCTCGTTGATGGCGGGGCTTCGAACCTCCGGATGCGGCGGAGGGGTCTTGGAGCTCGTCTTCAGCTCAGCTTGGCCGCTGCGCGTGCAGAGGCTGATCCTTGCGAGCATTGGGAATCCAACATGGGGCTCTGCCTTGTTTTTGTTGAGGCTTCGTGTCCTTTTCAGGTTGGTTTCACAGCAAAAGACGTCTTGGGCACAAAAAGACGACTGCAAACAAATATGGCTGTGGTTGTCAAAACCAATGAGATCCCATTTCGGGGATTGGGTGCAGAACCTATTTTAGTGGGAATTGGGATGTTCACTGGGGGTACGGGATTTTGACCCATGGCCACATGGGGCTGTGCCTTGTTCTTTGAGGCTCGGTGCCCTTTCAGGTTGGTTTCAGGGAAACCAACCTGACAAAATCGGAATTTTTGTTGGGTTCAAAAAGGACACCAACCATCTGGACCAACCTTTTGGCTGGAACCATCTGCAACCTTTTGGCTGGGGGCCCAAGTTTTGAGACATCATGCCCGAGTTTGGTACTTCAATGCCTCCCGGATGGTCTATCTTGACCTAGGAATCCACCCGAAATGGCGCACGAGTGCTTTAAAACCGCCATGCTGTGGGAAATGTGACAGTTTCCCGGTGCATCGAGCCAACATGTTGGCTGGAAGTAGGAAAGCTAGAAATCGAGCTGAAGCATATGAGGGAGAGCGTTTGGGTTTGGGGCTGACATGGGGCATCAAATTACAATGGAACATCCCGAGACAAGGTCTCAGAGGGTGAGTGTCTGTGCTAAAAAAAATGAGGAAAAGACAGAACCGTAAAATTAATTGCATAGCCGACTATGTGCACCAGTGTCCCACAACAACTTCGGAACATATGAAGCATACGCGCACCAAGTGTCCCACAACAACTTCGGAACAAGGCAGACCGTGACTTGACGGCCTTCAAACGCAAGAATGAAACGGGAATTCAACCGTGTCTTACGGAGACCGGGGAAGAAGATGGGGCACAAGAGCAAAGAGAAAAGCAGACTCAGAGAGGAGAGCGGCGCGAGAAGCGGAGCGCTGGGAGCACAGCGGCCCAAAGAGCCTCGAGAAGAACCGGGGGGAGAAGGGAGTTGAGCCAGCGGAGAGGTCGGTGAGAGAGAAGAATCAAGGGAAAATATTTGCCAGGCGAAGCACCTTCCCCAAACATCTCATATGTAGAGCAAGCTCCTCGGGCTTTTCAGGGCGGTCATTTTGGCAACTTTTTGGGAGACGTGGGACACACTCCAAGAGAATACCGGAACCGCTTTCAGGGGGCCCCAACATGTAGATATGTATATATATATATATATATGATACATATATATATATATATATGATATATATATATATAGAAATAGATGTGATTAATGTGATTTATTCTGGTAGTTTTCAAGAAAGTACAACCCGTACAATTGGTTTTCTCCAAATGGGAAGCCTTCAAAACAGTTGCATCCCTTTACACCTCCATCCTGGTTCACATCTGCAAAGCACGGGAAAATCCTATCTTTAGCTTCTGCTTCATAGGTCCCTACTGCTTTTTCCCATGCTTGAGGCTGTTTTTGGACAAACGAACAAGCGGGGATACTGAGGAAGCGGGGATAGGGATCCCCTTGCCGCCAATTCCCATATCAAACTTAGTCAAGGTGCATCAAACGGGGGAATCCTCCCGTATCCCTGGTTCCCCCTGTATCCCTGTAGTTGGTTTCCCTGATGTATATCCATGGACATGCGCAAACTCGAGGTGTTGGCTCCTGTCGGCATCATCGGCGCCGACACCTCGGAAGGCTTCCAGGGTGTAGGTGACCTGGAAGTTCCAGAAGTACTCAGTGATGGTGGTCACCACCTCAGTGGCTAAACCTGTTCTTCGCTTGGAACGAACAGAAAAAAGGGGGTGATCCAATCTGATTTTGGGAATTCAGGAAGGCGAACAACAACAAAGATGTATATGTGTGTATCTATATATATATGTATATATTTGGCGGGTTCCCTAGTTTGACAAACACCGAGAAAAAACAAAAACACACCTATACGAATAGATGTATGTACTAGGTGTGGGTATGCGTCTAAGTGGGAGACCCCACACATATTGGTCGCTTGCCTTCAGTGTTTCCTTGAAAACCGACCCGGAAATGGTATTATTGAAGACACACACATGCAAACATACACACACACAACATCCACATGTATTCTGCATGTTGCCCACCGGTTCTCTTCGTCTTGTGTGTTTTTTGTTGGAGCAACTCTGCTCTTGTTTGTTCGACCAAATCGTCCTCCTTCCGATTTTTTGATGAGACAATCCTCTATCGCTCCAACCGCAAGGACAATGCCAAGACTGACATGGCCTCCCCGGCATCACGGTTGGACCGCTTAACAAGGGGCCACGGCTCTGGGGCTACCCCAGTAGGATCTCCTGTTTGTTGCTTAGTATGGCCTATGCCTGCTTTCCTATTCTGGACCTACCTTGCCCAGCACCCTGGACCCTTGCGCCTTGCTGGTCCAACTGGCTGAAAGGACGCCCCCGCGGCTCACCTCCTCCACGTGCTTGCGAGGGTTCTCCTGCAGTACGCTTTGCGAAAAATCGCCCACAAAGCAGCGCTTATATTAAGAAGCCAAAGGCTACAAAGGGAATCCCGGCATATCAGCCGACGCCCTGGGCTTCGGAGTGTCTTCCTAGATGGGGCCTTTCTTTGACCCATGTCGTCCTTGCGGCACAAGGACGGCTTGCCCGGCGTCCGGGCAAAGAGGACATCATTTTCGCCTCGATGGCTTCAACCCCTCAAACTACCCAGCTCTACCGATGTGCTTTGGTCTTGTCTCCTCTTCTCGCTTCTCCTCCCGCAAAAAGGTGCAGGTCTCTTTTGACCTGGCGCAATAATCAAATTGCCGGTGTCAAATGGCAGCAAAATGGCGAACCTGACTTTCCGATTTACCAGGCCCCAAAGCAAAACAAAAAATGTCAACGCGGCCTTGCTTTCGTGCACGGCCTGGAGCTCATCGAGGGCACTGCGTGGGAAATGCAATAATCCTAATCTGTCGTGCAAGTTTTCGTGCGTAAGTGCGCTCACGCGAGCTTGCTCAGGCAGGTGTGCTCGTGGGAGTTTGCTCGCGTCAGTGCGCGAGTGCGCGAGTTGCTTCGCGCAAGCTCTCTGTGAATTTGTTGATTGAAAGTTGCTCTGCGCAAGCGCTCGGTGAAAGCTGATCTGCGCAAGTGCTCTGCACAGGTCGCTCTGTATACGAGTTGCTCTGCGCAAGTCCTCTGCGCAAGTTGCTCTGCGCAAGCACTCTGCGCAAGTTGCTCTGAGCAAGAGCTCCATGCAAGCCACTTGCGCAAGTGCTCCATGCAAGTTGCGGTGCAAGTTGCTCTGCGCAAGCTGCTCTGCACAAGTGCTCTGCGCAAGTGCTCTGCGCAATGTGCTCTGTGCAAGTTAGTCTGCTCAAGTTGCTCTGCGCAAGTGCCTTCTCTGGTCATGCTTCGGCGTCTGCGCATACCGCATCACCTTGAGACAACTTCTGAAGACTCATCTGCGAGCCCAAACAAGTAGCACAAGTCCTCAGTTTTTGCACATCGACCACGCCGATCCCCGCAAGCGACCGCAGCAATTTGCAAAAGCCCACACGGTTAGCGCTACAAGACGCGCGATTCCCGCAGAGGGTCGGCTTTTTGATCGCCAAGTTGGCGCAGGCCCGCTTGCTTTAAAAAATAATTTACACTTGTCAAGCTTCACGTTCCTCTCTTTGAAGCGCGAATTCATGAGAAATATTTCCAACAACATCTATCTAGTGTAAGACATTGCAAACCTCTCGTGCCAATATTTTATGTAACTTGCTAGCGCAACTCCCTAGTGCAACTCGCTAATGCAACTTGCTTGTGCTACTTGCTAGTGCCGCTTGCAACTACTGCTTGCTGGTGCTACTTGCTAGTGCTACTTGCCACTACTACTTGATAGTGAGACTTGCTGGTGCAATCCGCTCCAGGTCCTTCCTAAAGAATCCTTCGCAATGCTTTCGGGAATTCAACCAAAATGCCAGGAAGAACAGTGCGATCCATTCGTGGAAGTGACACGACGACGACCCACGGACGGCACATCTTCTCGAGTGACAGGGCCCAGTCTCATCCTTTCAGCTAGCCTGACTTCAAAACTCAAGCACCACCTACATGAAGACTCCCCAAAACAGGGACTCTCAAAGGGTGGGTTAGTCCCCAAAGGGAGATATCCAGGGTGGTTTCCAGCAAAGGCGATAATATATATATATATATAGAGATTATACGTGTATATATATATATACATATGTCTTCTTTGAGGGTGCGGATTTCTATGGCGCGCCTGAGGCGCAAGGACACGGAGTGCGTCTGCGCCCACTGCTGCAGCGTCTGGAGCTGCCTTAAATCATAATCGGTCCCAGGCGGTAGAGTTGCTGCGGGAAAAAGTTTGCGGCTAAACAATGAAACCAAATTGTCTTGTTGTGGGGTAGTACTACCATAAGAGTTATGCAACTAGACAATTGGACGATTACATGGGCTTGTGGGGTACAATAGACCAAATTGTGCCATGGATTGATCATTTCCAGTCATGTCTTAGTGTTGATAGTAGAAAGGACTTGCTCTTGTCGTTTTGAAAAAAGCGCGCGGTGATGTGCACAGCCCTTAGGGTGCGCGAGTGCCACTGAAGGTAGTCTGAAAGCGACTGCGCTCAGCAGTATGGGGGAGGGGGCAGACTTCAATCGGTTTACACAGAAAGACAGGGCCTGCCCTGTTTTTTTGGGTCGTGTTGAACAAAGAAAGAACTTGCCTTGGTTGTTTGAACGGACAAATCACCTGGCCGGCCTGTGTTATGTTAATTAATTAGCTGGTTTGTAGTATATATTTCTTTTTTTTTAATAAAAAAAAAGAAGAAACAAACTAGCCTGGCAATGGCCGCCTTAAAAGAAAATTGACCTACTCTTCTTTTGTTGATTGCTTTGAACGAACAAACGTGACTTTCCCTGTTGTTGTTGGTTGTTGGGTGCATTGAAAGAGAAAAGGACCTGGTCGGGTTTGCTCGGTTGTTGTTTTGGAAGAGGAAATAACCTGATCTGCTTTTGTTGGCTGTTTTGAAGGAACAACATGGCTTGCCCTGTTTCTGATGGTTGCTTTGAACGAACGCAAAGGACATGCCTTGTTGTTCCTGAAAAGAACACATAGGGTTTGTCTGCCCTGTGTGTGCTGGTTGAATTGAAAAACCAAAAGGACCTGGCCTGTTTCTGTCGGCTGCTTTGAAGCAACAAACATGGCTTGCCCTGATTTGTTGCTGTGAAAGGAACCGGCCCCTCTCCCCCTCCAAAAAAGAACAAAGAACACAACAGGAACACCCGCAAAACAACAACAACAACAACAACGACAAGACGCAAGGAGCATCACCGGGCCGAGTTGCAAATGCTGAAGGCCCAGCGATGCTAGGCAATTCAGCTGCGACGCCGCCTAATTCGCTGCTGGAGCGAGGTGGTATCCGTGATGAGTGGCTTTCTTTCCTCTTGGAGGCTGTCTTTTTTGAGGCTACTTGTTTTCTCTTGGGCTTTGCTTTCCTCTTGGGGCCACCCTGTTTTCAAAGGAAAACCAAAGGGACACCAGCTATATTGAGGGTTTTCCGCGAACTGAAAGCTGACATTTCGACAGGGTTGCTCCGAAACCCCTATCACCGGACAAAATCGGCTCCAAAAGGACCCACCAATTGTCTACCCTCTGGGTTTGGTCCATTTTCAGCCATGTCAAGGCAATCACACAATGACCCTTGACTTACAGCAATTAACAACCTCACTTTGTAATTAATCAAGATGCTGTCCCTGGAACAGCCACTTGTCAATGGGTTGCTCCGTGCCAAGAAACACAAGTAGACGACAACACAACGACACAACGGAATTGTTAAGTTTGCAGCACACGGGTTGTCCTCGAAAACAACAACCGCCTCTGTTTCTTCTCGCAACATGGGAGGTTGACACCAGCAATGGGGTGAGTGCATTGCAACGCCTTTCATGCATGTGTCACTGACATGTCTCACTGACATGTCTCACTGACATGTCTTACTGACATGTCTCACTGAGTGGATTAATGATTGGCAAAACAAAGCTAAACTTGTTGATTTCCAGTGAAACCCGATGGTTTTTGCCATCAGTATTAAGGTTACAAACACGGAAGAGAGATCTTCTCTACCTCATTGCATGAGCCTCTCAAAATCGATGGGCTCTTGGGGCAAGGTATGGTGGAATACCATCCTACAGACGGTCTCCTCCAGCTTGATTGGTCACCTTGAAAGTAGTCTTTCTACGGTACCCCAAGAGCTTCACAACTTCTGATTTGGAAGAAGTGCAGAAACAGCCAGTTCCAAACGGAGAGGTGTCATCTCCCAAAAAGGGGTACACCTTCCTGTGTGCTGGCGTCATGGCAGATTCATTCATCATGGCATGGGCTTCCGCAAATCGGAGAAAGGCCAGCAGAACGGACCCCCACCTATTGAGGGAGCATTCATGGTACATAGTGTACTGTTGTGAACAAGCATAAAAGCTGACCGATAAGCACGGTACTCTGTGTTTTTGTTTGTGCGTGTGTCGGAGCCTGAAATCGGTGGCGAGTCGGGATCCAAAGAGGATCATAACGGATCAGTCCATGTGTCACGATCAGTCAGGCAGGGAGGCAAAAGAACAACCCAAAGAGGATCACAACCGATCAGTCCATACAGGGAAGATTCTTCGAATCTGTTGCGATCAAAGGGTTTGAAGGGAATGCCTCACTGGACATCAGGCTTCCCAAAAGACCATCGAGATAGTGCCATCCGATTCGAGCCGCTGCTAAGCAGGTCCCTCGTTCCACCAGGAAGTACTTGTCCTCATACTGATGATGCCTCAAACCGCCGGGTTTTCGTGGAGCCTGAAAAGCCCAGCCCCATTCTGACCTTGCAAAAAACATGGAAGTCGACCGGAGGGTTTGAAGACTAAGCCCTGTACTCCTGAAAGGGCTGTCCACTTCCATGATTGATGGAAGGAGGATAACACGATGTAGCGCCACCTGGCAAATATGCTCTAGAGATAGAAGTAACTTGCAAAACATGGACGCGCCTGCAAAGTGCAACTGGCCCAGTTGAGCATAGACTGGAAGACGGTACAAACCTATGACAACCTCAAGCAATGAGTTGTTGGAATGCTGCACCCGCAATTGCCAAACTACTTTTGTGGTCTATGTTTCCTTGGAAGCTCAGAATCAGTAGCAAACGATCCCTGCTATTCAAATCAGAAGCGCCTGAGGGCATGCTCATTCGATTTAGGACATCCCTTTGTCTGCTTAAGCCATTGGAGCTGCCCTGAATCACGGCCGAGCATCTGGTGCTCGCCATGCCTTCCGAACGAGCCTTCGAAATGGCCAAAGGGGTGAACCAAGGTGCCAATCTGAGCGCTGAAACACACATGCAATCTCTAAATTGCTGAGCGTGACTTTGGCAGAAGCCTCGGATCGGATCATGTTCAATGGAACGAAAAAGAGATGCCACTACGGTGCCCCTGCAAACTCTGATGTGTTGGCTTGCGCGCCAGGATCAGGCAAGGCTTCAGCAGGTTTCTCATCTGGTACATGTTCTTCATTGCGCACGCTGTGTGTCACACCGAAAAAGATCCGGGCTCCACCTTGCCGGGATGCACATCAGCAGCGAGCTGGGGAGTCTTCTCCGCTTTGAGCAGCAGGCGAACCCGCCTTGGCGGGTTAAGCCGTGGATGAAAAACCCGATCCCAGCGATCAAAGATCTCCCTTAATGTTGACCCGGATTCATAAAGCCCTGGTTGATTAATAAGGGGGTGTCCCCTTTTAGTGGGGATTCATCACTTTTGGAGGGAACACCCCAATAACAAAGCAGCATTTTTTTACGATCCTATTGCAAAGCTATTGGTCAGACAGGGGGAGGATCGCAGGGAACACCTGAAAAATAAGGTTTTCCCACCGTGACAGCCGGGTGGTGGGGGGAAGGTCAGGGCGAAACAGTACAAGAACAGGGGGCACTGTCCTTCCCTCAAAAGTTGTATTTTTACCGGTAGTTTCCATTGAAACTGCCACGTTTTGGAGCATCCAATAGACGAAACAGTACAAGAAACCCAAAAAAGCTAAGGATCTAGAGCCTGACAAAAACCATTGCCTCTTCCCTGGTGTGTATTGGAAATTAAACACCGGCTATTTGGGGGCGTGTCAAAATTGGAGCCCCAAAATGCTTGGGTTCCTCTTGGCTTTCAGTCAAAACCCGCCAAAAAGAGATTCACTCAGAAAAACCACGCCCATCCAATTCTTCAAGCGAGCTTTCCCCCTCCTGGCTTACAGTCAGCCACTTCCGGTGACGGATAGCACCCAAACTGTGGATGAACGAAATCCATTTTGCACCACCTAAGAAACCCTGGAATGATGATTCCCCTGTAAATACCAACAAACAATGGTTTCAACCATAGTTTCAGAGCGGTGCGAAATGGATTTCGTCCATCCACAGTAGCACCCACGACAAGATGCTCCATGGCATTCTGTAGCTTCGCCTCCACCCGCAGCTGCAGCGTCATCTCGAGACCTCGGATGGCGTCGATGGAGTATCTGTGGGCTTGGCTCATCGTGAGTGCAAAGGGAAGTCTGGGGTCATTATTTTGACGGTTTCGGGGGGGTGATCAAAGTCAGAAAATGGGGTTGTTTCCCTTAACCCACCACTTAGGGGGTGACTTTGATCATGGTAAAATATTAAGGCCAGGGAGTCGTCCCCGGTTCACAAACGGAAGACGAGGAGTCGAAAAATCAATAACGAATCAACTGGGAGCCCATGGAATGTCAACGGTTGGTAGGGGTGTCATGTGTCATAGGGAATCCTCTTTTGCTTCGGTTTTGGAGGGCGAGAACGCGCCCTGTGACTCTGGCAGCTTGAATCTGGGTCAACTCGCAAGGCTTAAATACATCGACACAGCTCCCTACTATCTTCCCCCAACCATGCGAGACCAAAAGGAAGCATCGCCAAGAACCCTTTGTTGCTGTTGACCCCTCTGCAAAAAGTTTGTTTAACTTTTGGTGGGTGTAGTGGAAAACCCAACTTGATTTCAACCAAAAAGCTAAAGTCTAAAGATCCGTTGCCCAACAGCAGTCAAGAACAGGGCGATGAAGACCACTCGGCAAGAAAGGGGACACAAGGACCTCTGACGCGGACAAAGGCCGAGAGGTGTACAGCCCATCCGGGCATGAGGTGCTACCATGGAGTGAATCTGTTCAAGCAGAAACTTTCCGCCACCTATTTGGATATATCTCAGTTGTTCAGTGACCCTGGAAAAAAGGGAACCCTTTTTGGGAAGACCATTTTTAGTGGGACAGCCACCAAAAAAAAGGGGGAAAAAGAATCGGTGCCACTGAACAACTGTAGGATACTTTTGGGGCCAAAGGCGTCATGACATCTAGCATCTACTGTAGCATGTTCGTCGAAACAACTGAGGTCTTCTCACTATACAGGAGCCCCATCATCTCTAAAGGGATATAAGAGGTAAACCAAGCGTTCGCCTGTCCAGAAGAAACAACTTCCCAGCATGTTGGTGTAAATCTCTAGCGGTGCCCCCTTGGTGGACACGTTGTTATGTTCACCAATCAAACTTGAGGTGGCCCCCATTGAAATCCAGAGCCATTTCTTTACGGCAACTCAGAGATTTCAATCTACACTCCAGACGGACCCAGCGAAAACTAGTGGGGGTGTGGTCCGTTTGGTGCCCCTTTAAACCAGCCCCAAAGGGTACCCTCACACACACCCACCCACACAGACACACACACAGACACAAAAACACAAACACAAACACAAACACAAACACACACACAAACACAAACACAAACACAAACACAAACACAAACACAAACACAAACACGAACACGAACACGAACACCAACACGAACACGAACACGAACACGAACACGAACACGAAAACGAACACGAACACAAACACGAACACGACCACAAACACGAACACGAACACGAACACAAACACGAACACGAACACGAACACAAACACAAACCACAAACACAAACACAAACACCAACACCAACACGAACACGAACACGAACACAAACACAAACACAAACACAAACACAAATGAACACGAACACGAACACGAACACGAACACGAACACGAACACGACACGAACACGAACACGAACACGAACACGAACACGAACACAAACACAAACACAAACACAAACACAAACACAAACACAACACACACACAACACACAAACACAAACACAAACACAAACACAACACACAAACACAAAAACACAAACACAAAAACACAAACACAAAAACACGAACACAAACACACACAAACACAAACACAACACACAAACACAAAAACACAAACACAAACACAACACACAAACACAAAAACACAAACACAAACACAAACACACAAACACACAAACACAAAAACACAAACACAAACACACACACACACACACACACACACACACACACACTTTTGGCCCTTTTGGCCCCGGTGGCGAGTGAGAGACCGGCAATCCTCTTGCACTACAAGTTTTTGGTTTGCTCTGGTCGAAACTGCTTGCATCGTCCCTGTTACTCTTTGATACCAAACTCACTAGCTTGCCAGACACTTTCGAGGACTCCGCCCAAGAGCCTGCGAATCAAGGCAGTGCCCAATTAGGAACACCTGAAATGTGGGCCGGGCCAAATGCACATCGAACAAGAATCAACCCGCGAAACACGCTCCCGTGTTTCCAACGTACCCATCAGCCAGCGGGGTTGCGCACGACCTTTTTGTCAGTGTTCAGGTGCAAGTAACCAGCAGGATGAAACAAACACGATGCCCATCTCCTTTGCTTTCCTCAAATGCGATACCTCTCAGAAGTACTCTGCAACAAACCCTGATGTGTTGCCTTGCCGCCAGCATCAGGCAAGGCTTCAGCAGGTTTCTCATCTGGTACGTGTTCTTCATCTTGCACATCGATTGGCACATCTTGTGGCACATCCATTGACACAGGCAAGCCATTTGCATTCGGAGCATTGGCTTCATCCGGATTTCGACGCCAGCGCCGGCCAAAGAGTAATCGAATGCAAGCTGGGCCCACGCAAGGAACCAGTGAAATCCTTGGGCCAAGGATGCACCTTACCTTCACTGACCCGGGTTTTGATTGTGACTCACTTTGGCCAGTGTACCCAAGGTCTCCAGGATAGGCATGTGGACCCTTGCTCAGTTCCGGAGCCCACAGTTGTTCAGACTGCAAGTCCAAACGGGTCTGTCAAAATAGGGATATGGACCCCTCAAAATGGCGAGTTAGCGAGTTGCCACGTAGCTTCCCTTTAACCCCAATAATATATGCTATGTTCAAATGCTTCAACAGCCCAATGTAGTCATACATGGGCAATAAAGAAATAAGCCCAAGAGCAACTATCTGCAAAGCAATCCAGCGTTTCAAGCGTTACTAGATAAAATTGAGCTCATGAATGACATCTCATCACACAGGCAATAAGTAACAAACACACAATTATTAATGACTGTTGTTTTCACCACAAGCGGCCAGCAATGATATGATCAGTACCATTCACTCTCGGAATCAGTTTCCAACACACTCTCACCAAAACACAACATGCCAAGCGGGCGTTGAAAGCAAATCTCAGCAAAATGGTCCAGCAATACTTCAACTGGCAAACAAGAACACGCATCACAACACAAGAACACAACACACACACACACACACACACTGGGCCTTCTACAGCGATGACCGACGACAAGGTATTAAAGGTCTGCTGCTGGGTGCGATGCCTCAATCCCTCGACTCGGCATGACCGCTGCATGCAAAGCCAGGTGCTTCGCATGCCCCCAGCAGTGTGGAAAACAGGCCCCCGAAGCCAATGAGCTTCCGGGTTTGGCAAGACAACATCTGAGCCATGGCAATAACTCTTGCTCCAACATCCTCATGTAGGTTTGAGGGGGAACATGGTCTAGTTGTTCAAACCTCGCGGTGTGCTTCCATGTCCCGGCGTCAATCGATAGCCTTACAGTCGACAACCAAACACCGCCTTGAAGCCCAGCTGGGGAGAGAGTTGCCCGCAACACGGCACACCAACCATTTTGTCAGGTCGCGTATTCTTGGAAGCATCTACATGTACCCCTTCGTGAGAGCCCATAGCCCGGCTTGACGTACGATCATGAGGTCGCAAAGGGCCGCTTGCAAATGGCGCTGTTTTTCCACAATGTTAGATTCCCTCGCAAGAGAAAGAGAGAGAGGGGGCGAGGCCCTTCATGGGCTTTTCCAAGCTCATTCCCCCTTGCCGCCAAAGTGCTGTGAAGATCCAGCAAACGGCGGGCAGTCGGCAGGTTTGGATGGCTGATCTGAAACGTCTGCATCGGCAGAATAAAAAAAGCAGCTGAATAAACGGAGTGCTCATTCAAGGAGGCGCATAGAGGGTAGTTTCACCCAAGCACAGGGACAATTGGCAAATGTCCGCCTTCGGCCTTCCTATGCAGACCAAGGTTTGGGAATGTTTGGGAAAGCTTGACCATTGCTGGGCAGAAGTTTTTCTCGAGACTCACCCGGTCAGCTCGCACCATAAAGACCACATGGGATTTATCTTCAGGTGTCACATGGATATCCAACTGCAAGAGCTGCCGTATCTCTAGCAGTACCTTCCATTTCCATCCTTTCCAGGCATCCTTCTTTCTACAAACCCACTCAAAACCCTGGGGAAACAGCGATTGGCTTTTTGAAAAGAACGATGGTTGAAAAAAGTGGACAAGGAATCAGCCCCTGGAGCATCATGCAACTAACTCTCAAGGTGTTTCGAAGAGGGGATAACACTCACCAACATGCAGTCTAATGATGAAGGGCTGTTGACTTCTTTCTGAATACTGGGCTGTCCTCAGATCCCCCGCTAAAAGTTTAGCTTTCAGGGGGTTAAATAGAAACTACCACTAAACACTAAAAGGCTTAAAAAACTAAGGAACCGGATGGCTGGGAGCCACCCAGAATATAATTCAGAAAGGAAACATAAGTGGCTCTAAGGGCTTTTGACTTCTTGCTCAATACAATCAAGTGATACTAAACACCTCAAGTAATACGAAACAAGGGGCCCAACTTCAACGCCGAAAGGGGCCCACTTCAAGTGATACTAAACACCTCTCGCCTGCATTCCATGGCCGACGCTGCCCTCTGACTGGCCACGTTTTTCCAATAGAAAGTTTACCTCGGGGATCCTCCCAGCCTGCAGCCTTAAGCACATATCGAACTCTGCGCATATGATATTTGAACGAGTAAAACCATACGTATATGTATATATATATATATACATATATATATATATATGGGCGTGAATCGTCTTGGGCAACCCCTGTGTGGCTTGTTTTAAAGGAAAGCCAAAAGGAACACCACCATTTCACACACGTCCCGGTCCTCCCCGCCCCCCCCCCCCCCCCACCGCGAATCCTGAACCCAACCATTAATGCAAGCAAGCTCTAAAGCCAACCCAAACCACTCAGGGCGGGCAACATATCCTGAATCAACCCTATCAAAACAGCCAACCAACCCCCACCATTCAGGGGGGGAACCCTCAACGAGCGATTCTGAGCTCTTTTACTTCAGGGTGAAAGTAGATGGCACACTTCCTTCTAGTGCTGGCAGGTAAAGGAGATAGCTAAACCAAAATGGGGAAATGGTGGCATCAAATTTCGCCCAGCATTCGGCGCGGTGAACTCTTGGCGCGGCACATCTAGCCATGGCGGAAGTCGGTCGTTCGCCAGCGCATGGAAAAGAAAGAAAGCGACAGATGGCAGTGGGTCAAAAATATGTCCCCAAAATGGAACCCTGGTAAATGGAAACTTGGACTACAACCTGCAGTCCCCGGGTGGTTTAATTTTGACCCGCACCCAAATGAACCCTTACTCCACTGCAAATGGACATGGAACCCAAAAAGGGTTCTCAAAGAAGGAGATTTATCCAGTAATAGTTGCTTGTTAGGTTCCATGTTGATCCGCTAAAAATGGATCTGGATGGGCTGCAAATTTGGTCTTTAGTGCTCGAAACGCAATGGGCACATGGCTAGTATGGCACTGACTTGTTGTTTTTGTTTCTTGATGGAAAGCGATCCGTATAACAACAACAAATTGAACACAAGCGCGTTCCACAGCATGCTGCGTTCTTCTACCTGACTGCAAAGACCAAGCTATGTCTAGATGTCCACACTCCTCTTATCAAGTTAACCACAAAACCAATGTCTAGGATGTTAGGTGTGCACAAAGGACACATGCCATAAATTGAATAGTCCAGAGCAAATTTGTCTGCCGCGCTCCCCGACACAACAGGTCTGTTCTGCAATTGTTTCCGTGTTCTTCCTGATTGTTAACACAGCACGATGGCTTGATTGACTTCGCCCAAGCAGCTAATGATATTGATTGGCACACAAGACTGTAGTTCGGTTTGACGACGCCTCTTGAGTGGATCTACTTCAGCTAGAACCCAGCTGGGTTCCCAGTCTCAAAATAGCAACAACACTGAACAAATGATAGTTCGGCCGCAACACTGTGGACCTGCCAACAAGGCCCGTGCCAAAGGAGGGTAGCCCAGACTGGAAATACGTGCAACAGCAAACACGCGATTTTTTTGCAGAAAACCAATCTGCGCAACAAGCTTGGCTCACAACAAAGGGGCCAGGCTTGATACCCCGCACCTGGACGCTCAATCTCCGTAGCGTTGCCTTTTGTGGATTGCTCTAGATTGCCTCTCAAAATCCCAAAATGCATGCGTCCCATGGTTCCCCCGTTGAGCCACTCCCAAAAAGGGTACGCACAAATAAATCACACACACACACTTCAAGTCAGGATGAGACATGCTCTTTGCAAAATCGTGCCGTCGTGCCGAGCATCCCCTTCATCGATGACTTACACGGGTCCGCTAGCTCTAACCAGGCGGGCATGTGTGCAATTTAGGGGACCCCGAAATGGGTGGTTCCTTTTGGTTCCCCTTGAAACCAACCTAGAAAGGGTGCCAAAAAAAAAGCACCCACGGCTAACTTTTGACACCTTGAGCCAAAGCAGCAAGTGAGCTCAGGTCATGAGTTTGTTGCGGCCACCCTTTGGCAAGGCGGGATCAGGCAACGAAATGGGCACATGATCACACAACATGCGGGTGTGGGTCAAAATTAAACCACCAGGGGACTGCAGGTTTTAGTCCATGTTTCCATTTACCAGGATTCCATTTTGGGTACATATTTTTGACCCACAGCCATATTGGTTGAGGCGCCGCCAGCCATGCCTGCTTCTTCAAGCTCGTCAGCGTGTCGTCTTGCATCCTGCCTGGGACACAGCGACGTGATTTGCTCTATCTGGGCATGTGTTGTTCTTAAAAGTACCTGTTTCAGGAAACCAACACTTGTGGGAGGGATCTTAGCCCCAGGATCTGATTGTAAGCATGGCGACAGCAGAAAACCCTGACAAAGGTGGACACTCGAATTTACTATTCAGGGTAATTTCAACACCTTTGGGAGGAGATAACGATGCCACCCTCCAAATGGATTCTGTAACTCTCATCCCTTGCTCAAAAAGGTGTCAAGAATTCTGGTCTGAAAACCGCCCTGAACCGCTTCTTTTGCCAGGATAGTTTTGCAGTTGGGGGGGAACCATAAATCAGTGGTGCCAAACCCGGGGGCCTCGATAACACTTTGGTCACCTACACACCCCCTAGAAAAAAAAAACGGGGGGCGAACACCGAGGGTGGGTCAAAGCGTCTGGGTTTGGATGGGGATCTGCAAACCTGGCAGGGACAGATCTCATTCGAAGTCCGCCTGTTGAAGCACATGCCGCGGATAAAACATATCGACCTTTTGTCCAAAACCCCTAACGGGTTAATGGCGCCCCTACTAACCCCAAGTAAATCAAAGGGTGTTTTGGCCATGGCGCATAATATGCCAGCATGGCATTGTCACGACCGAGTTCAGGGCGGCTTCTGCCTTTGTCCAGCTTCACTCACCAAAGTCGACCGAAGGATTCTTTGGCCATGGCACGCCCAGAAGGCACCATTCCAGATCTGCCCCCCATCCTTTGTTCCTACAACTCATGACTTGCTGGTGCGATTGGTAGGGAGTGAGAAATGGAATGCCCCTTATAAACCGTCCAACTGGAGGTTTCCTTGAAGGGAATCCCTGGGTTCATCCCCAGTAATGTTGACCCCGGATTAATAAACCCCTGTTTATTAATATGGGGGTGTCCCTGGTTTTGGTGGGAATCATCACTTTTGGATGGGGGAACACCCCCTAATATTAATACACAGGGGTGTATTCATCCGGGGTCCACACACCAATAATCCTCGGTCCTCCAGAGAGTTCAGAATAAGTGTACCCTGTTTTTTCTCTGTAGTCTATTTTGGTAGGGGAACCGAACCCTCCCAACCAAAAAAGGGGATGAGAAAGGGCACCAATTGCTGGGGGAAATTCGGTAAGATGATCTGAGGCCTCCAACGCTGACTCACCGCCTCCTCGATCTGCAGCGCTTGGCTCGAGGCGTGCCTGCCGCGAAGAAAGGAGCCGTGTAGAATGTATGGGGGTTTTGAAAATGAAGGTTGGACCCCTGTTTGGAGGGTTCTAGCTGTACCCTCCCCATTCTCTTCAGGCATCGTTCTCTTCAAAGACTGGGCCAAAACCCTGGAAAATGGGTGGTTTCCAAAGAGAACGATGGGTGAAGAGAATGGGGAATCAAACCTTCGAAGGGTGTTAACAGGAAACCGACAGGAAATGAAGCCTAATAAAATGGGTCCAATCCCTCTTTTGAGAAACATCCAGAAGCTAGGCTCAGGGCATTTCCAGGTTCCGGAGGTTCTGCAGCTTTCATACCGCGTGAATAAAGGGGTACGTACTGCGCTACAAGCTATTGGTAAAAGACATCAGTGCTTTCAAAACCCGATACCTGGAAACTTCCTTGATACGTATCCTTTTGGAACACTAGATGGTACTGTTAAAATGAAACGGAAACCATTGCCATCCACGTTCAAGTCTGGCCTAAAAAAGAGACAATCCACAATGCATAGGCAAATCAAGTAAGCCCCTGGCGGCATGGTTGGTGGCAACTGGCGTGCAAAAAGGCACGGGCTATTTTGAAAGGGTCGACATTGCACTAAGATGCTCTCCTTTGGATCTGTCTTCTCGAGCAACGTTGCGGGGCCAGTCTCCAGTGTCAAACAAGTTGGAATCTTCCAGGCAACAACACATCCGCCAGTTGTTTTCCTTGGAACGGGTCAGCTGCAACTGTAACTTATGGCTTCAATACCTCCAGAAGCCCAACAAATCTGATCTGATCGGGGTCTCTTTTTGGGCGTACCCTTTGTTGAAACTTGGTTTGGGGAACCCCCAAGGAGAAC